TGCAGCCGGCGGCACGGCAGCGCAGCATGTGCGTGGAGCCGGCCAGGGAAGATGTATGTAGGTTATCTTTTGGATAAGGACACCAACATGTATCCCAGCCCTGTCCGGCATCCCAGCCTCAACCTCAACCCCCAGAATTACGTGCCGGGGCCGCCCCAGTACTCGGACTTCGCCGGTTACCACCATGTGCCTGGGATTAGCAACGACCCACACCACGGGCAGCCAGCGGCTGCCTGGGGCTCTCCCTACACCCCTGCCAAGGAGGACTGGCATTCCTATGGGACCACCGCTGCACCTTCCACTGCCAGCCCGGGGCAGTTTGGATTCAGCCCCCCAGATTTTAACCCCATCCAGCCCCCGGGCTCTGGACTCCTGCCTCCGCCCATCAGCAGCTCGGTCCCCCAGCTCTCCCCTAATGCCCAGAGACGCACGCCGTACGAGTGGATGAGGCGCAGCATTCCCAGCACCAGCAGCAGCGGTAAGGAAACCCCCCAGCCCTGTGCCCCTGCACCTTCCTCCATGCAGAGGATCCCTGGGCTTCAAGTCCTATGGGGACGGATCCTGCTCCGCAGCACTCCTGGCAAGGGGACTGCTGGGAGGGATGGCACGCTTGGCCTGCCCTTGGCATGGCCCCTGGTCCCCAAAGGACAGGGGGACCCCACTGCTGAGGTGGCAGGGGCCGAGGATGGGCAGGGAGGGTGCCGGTGTTGCCGGCAGCTGGGGCTATATGGTTGGAAAGTCCTTTTCCCCGGCCAGTCTCTGCCCCTGCACCCCTGCCCTCGCCTGCCGCCACTGGGTAGGATGTGCAGAGCCGGAGCCCCCGGGATCGCGGGGCCCTGCCAGCCCCGAGGGGCTGTTGGACGGGGCGTCTTGTATCTGCAAGGGTGAGCGTGCGGGGCTGCGGGTGTGAGCTGGTGTGCAGCTGCGTGTGAGAGCCTGTGTATGGGGGTGTACGTATGTGTGTGCAAGGTGCCTTACGCTGCGTGCATGTGTAATGTGTGTGTATATGAGTGCAGGGAAGGTACCATATGTATATACGTGGAGGGAAGGTGCTACGTGTGCTGTGTGTATATATGTAAGGTGTATTCAGCGCGTGAGGTGCTATAGGCTCTGTGTGCATGTGCAAGGTGCCATAAGCAACATATGTGTATGGGGCTTGCTGTATAGACAGTGTCAGTGAGCGTGTACGGGGATGCTACGTGCTCAATGTGTGCGTGCAAGGCATTATGCGTTGAGGATAGTGCTGTGGTGCATGTGGATGGTGCAGTGTGTGCGTGCATGTGTGTGCAAGGTGTTGGGGGTGTGTGCACGCATGGTGCGTGTGCAAGGTGCAGTGTGTGTGTGGATGTGTGGTGTGTGTGCAAAGTGTGGTGCGTTTGGGGATAGTGCCACGTGGAGGGTGCATGCGGGTGCTCCAGGTGCAGCACGCCACGTGTGCGTGTGCACGGCATGTGGGTGCTGTGCACCGCGTGAGTGGGTGCCCCCCGCTCCTGTGCCTACCGCTGGCCTGGGCAC